CCCCGTGTACTGCCATTTCCTAGAAAGTGGAGCATTTTAATTGGAAACAGCGCCCAAGACACCGCAAAACCACTTTTCGCTTAAATCTCAAAACTCGCTTCGGCGTTTCCTCGCAAGTCTGATTTTTTGCATCAAACACACGCAGGCCACTGGCGCTTCCAGCACCCAATTGACCCTTGACCTTGCTGATAACTAGACTTGAATCCTAGTGAGTAATCTCCATTGGGTCATTCTCGTGACCTCCGACGAGTGCCAAATGTAGTTTAAAGCACCAGTGTTAGGTAAAACAGCTCCGATTTTAAAATGCCTCGATGACACACGCACACACCCTCCCCCACACTAACACCACCAGGTTCCGAAATGTGAATCAGATTGTGGTTCTGGCAATAACTTTAATGCTCCATATATCTATATACACATTCTGGGTCTGTTGCTCCAGCAGGCGTGTCTGTCTGATAGTTTTGGGGAAGGAGGCAGTTCCATACATGCAAGAGGATGAAGATGCGGTGGGAGGGAGGGAGGGAGGGAGAGGGGGGCTGGATGGAGAACAGCAGATGACGAATCACATGTTTGGAAGGCGTCGACTAGTTGAGGCAAGGTATTTGGCATACGTGTGTGTGTGTGTGAGGGAGAGAGAGAGAGTACACAACAAGGAGTGTGGTAGGAAAGGTCTTCAATGTGGGGCCGAGGGATCCCTTTCAGCGGTGGAGGCGGCGGCAGTAGCGGTGGAGGCAGGATTCGAGGGAGAGGTGGTCGTACTGGCAGGAGGCTGCGTCGGTTGAGGCCAGGACGCGTTGCCCAGGGAGGCGATCTGTCGAATAGCATTCAAGTAGGCGAGGAAAGCAAATTGGAAGGGAATTATGGAATTGTCAGATAGTGGAGGCGTAGTGTTTCACCAGAACGATGTAAGGTCTCGTTCTTGGGATTTATTGGTTGGGAATTGATATCTCACTAGGCCCGATTTGCCCCTTGACCTTCAAGTGGTCAGTTTTTTCGAAATATTACTAGGATCGGTTATTTACAGACAAGAACTAGAACTTCAATGATTGCGGTTACCTGAAGATCTAAGTAGGGGTCCCAAATCATCGACCAGATCTGAAATTATTTGTAAGTTGTTAATGTTCACCCTTTGCACCTACTGCAAACCTGGCAATACTTGATTGCCACTTTATCACCCCTGACACATCAACGAGAATTTGGTACAACTTGATATTCATTAGGTGGGTTCCGGCTGACGGACTAATTAGATGATTCCTGCATAAATTTCCATAATTGCGGGCATGTTGTCTTGTTAGGATGCTACGACCATCTCGATGACAGGAGCCTAAACAAGTCTGGTTTCTCTGGCAGGAAATCAAGGAGAAAAAGCGAATCACAGACCCATCAAGTTCCTTGAAAATCAATTAATTAATTATCTAATCGACTTATTGGTGCTTGTCTGCTGAAAGCATTTGCATATTCGGATCAGGCATTGATCCACGATCTCGACGTCGTGGAGTATTCTAGTACACCACAGGCTGGGATTTAAGGACAAAATTTGTCGTTCCTGTTCCTCCTTTACTAGGGAAAACGGCTTATCATTGTACACGAAAAGTGTAATTAATTTATCTGCCATCAAATTGACGTTCGGCATGCTGTAACGGTCAGGTATAATTTGACAAATGGCAGTTTTGAAAGGCGGTTTTGCATCCTGACAAACCATGAAGGCAGGTTTGGTGGTGGAGGTGGCGGAGGACTGAGGACTAGCATTTAACCATCATCATCATCATCATCACCACCACTGCTAAAGACATCCAAACACAAGGCCAACTGCCTCCCACACAAGACTCAAGAACCAATGAAATCGTCCATAAGCAAATGCCTTCACTCTTTCTGCCAAAAGATCGAGTTTGCATTTGCAGCTGCCCGATCATATTTGCCCTGAGCGACCTCGAATGGTGGGCACTGATCCACGATATCGCACGTTTTCATGCGAGACAGGAACAATTATTGTATTTACTGTTTTTGACCCGAAAAGGAAGCCATTTTTATTGGTTGACATTTGCAATCGCACAACCACTTGGTCAAGTTAAGGGCGTCAAAATTTAAGGTTCATTTCAAGCTCAAAGAGACTCCCTTTCAGAAAATGTGTACTTTAATATCCCGATGCTGAAATTAAGGCATAAACGAGTAGGTGTTAGATGTGTCAACTGTGCTAGTCTCGTCTTTTGTGTAAGTACGATTTTCGCATGAGTCAAGTGTGCGCATCAATGCTTTGGCAGGTCTGTTCAAAAACAGCCAATGAGCTGTGACTACCAAGGCTGTGCATTTGTCAACCCTAACTCCTTCAAACCCCAAGCCCTAGTCGTGACAATAATTCATACCGCATTTTATCGTCATGGAAAGGTACATTTTTCCATGACCAATAAAATATGGGCCCATATTTGTCGCAGATCTCCAACATGTGTGTGTGCGCGCATTGTCTCCACTACTGCGATAAATCACGCTGCCGTCTAGATGCACACTCCTGTTCATTCGACCCTCTCATGGTTCATCACCACACCGTCACAGCTAACACAACCATGGCATCGTCGAAATTATTCCCACTAATGTAGGCGCCACCGAAATCACTGAGAGTTACACACCACTTCAAATCACTATAGTTAAAAAATGTGGGTGATTTCTGTGAACTTCATCCACACTTTCGTAGAATGGTGAAGAGTTGTTTTCGGCTTGGATAACACGGTGATTTTTGTGGTGTTTTTCACAACTGCTTGGATTTAGGCCTCCCAATGGAATGAATTTTCTAATCTACAATGACAATTTGTTGAAGAAACGGATCTCTTTCCAGTAAGTTGGAAGTTTATGGACAAATCGCATTCTTTTAAGCGCTATTATGGCTCTAGTTGGAAATATCTTCGTTCCTAACAAACAAAACGTTCCTGGTTTTTCCGAATTTTGAATCATTTCTATTATTGTCGACACCTTTTGGTGTCTAGTTAAGCATCAAGCGTTCAGAATATGCATAGGAAAGCAAATTATAGCAAGAAGGGACAAGGCGGCGATGTTTCTTTTTGAGAAAACTCGATAAAACGTTCATTTTGTCAAACCTGGAGGATACCAAGTGGGTGTTTCGCACGTGATGGAGCATTAGTAGTGTTTGGAAGAATGTGGTGATAACATAACGCACTTTTAGTCATATTTTCAGCTGGAGAGATGCAAAAATAGCAGGCATGGCAATATACGCGACACCACATCACACACACACAAGTCGGCGACTGTCGCGCAGCGAGGTCTTTTACATAATGGATTGCTTCATTGTTTTTCTTGACACAAAGGTGGACTTCCACCCCCCCCCCCACCTAGTCTGCATGTCCCCACGAACACTCTCTGGTCAGGTATCGGGCTAAATATATTTCTTTGTAACTGTCTTGTGTACTTGTCCCCTCGTAGAAATTTACGTACCATTCCAAGCAATGAGATTGGGAAGTGTACATAATAGATACGCGTTAGTTCAAAATAATTCCTGTTTAAATACTGTTCCAAGATCCCAAAACGTGCAAAGAGATTTGCTAATTTGTCACACCTGTTCGTTTTAATCTATCCGCCTATGATAGCAATCAACCAATGTCTGAGGTACTTTTCACCTGGGCCCAATATGTCGGCGCCACGCGGACATGATTGGTTAAAAATTCATGGAGCCGATTTCGATTTAAACCAAATAACCACCGGGAGACCATTTCATGGCACGTGGAGACGATTGACGATGTTAAGATGATGGTGGTGTGGATGTCGCCTGTACCACACTGTCCCCGGCGGCAGGAAAATTAGCGTCGATTCGTAAATTCAAAACGCTAGATCAGCGGAGTGGAATAGCGAATGAAAAAGGATCGACATAGCTGATTTGAGCGTCTTCATTTTCGTCTAAATGTTGCTTATTGGCCTCATCTATTACTTGCGTTCTTTATTTAACAAAAAAACGTTTTATCATATTTCAAGCAGCTTCGAACGCCAGCGCTCTGACATTATCTAATCCCATCAAGGAATGCATGTGCGTACCTGCCCCCGAAGGGTGTGAAATGGACCCGAATGTGCCTTTTTTTCAACCAAATCCTTGTCTTCGCCAGTCTTTACGTCTTTTCGCAAGCGAAAAAACGAGATTAATTGCCATTTCTCTTTGTCGGTAAACGCTGAAATTTGTGAATTAAGAAGCACTTCTTCTATTTCGGCGCAAACGTCGAAATAAATATCGCATACACATACACAAATTCCTGAAATCTATCCAAAACAGATTAGCTAGAACAGTAATTTAAAGTATTCCTGCTTTACATGAACCAGCGTGACACAGAATTACACTTTCCTTATTTCTACAAATAAATTTACCAAAATTAGCCGTTCTCACATCGAATTGGCCCAAAATGGCTATCTAACGTAAAAACTTATTACATTTTGCACAAACCAATCAAAGTAAGTCACTGGAGTACCGGGAGAATGACGTCATCGAAGTGAATAGAAATCACTTTTATAAGAGCACGGATACCGCTGACCAAAAATCGATAAATTCGTGGCAATTCAAACTATCATACACATCGCAGGCATGATGGAGATATTTTGGAAAAGGCTTCGGTACTCCCTTTATAAAAATCGGCTTACAACTCTACAGACAAACATCGCAGTGACTTGCGTGTAGCCAAAATCTCTTACAAACTGGAAGACAAGAAAAACAGACACAAAAATAATTTTTTTTGGCACCAGTCACAAACGATTGAACCGAAAGGCAGCCTTTTTTACGTTTCCTTGACGCCTTTCGACGCCACGTCGCCAGTTTCGGAGGCACAGTTTCAAAATTGCTCAAAGCTTTATTGTTAACAGACATACACACACAAATCAAACTTGCTTCGCTTGACGTCTGCATTTCCTTGTTAGGTTTCAGTCAAAATCTGGAAGGTATTCGTAGTTATTATCCATAAATTACAAACCATCGTCTAAATGAATGTTCCTCTATTACTCACAGTTATTTCTAAACCCGACGACCATTAACCAAAAAACACACAATGACTATTCAAACCCCATATCTTTTAAAACGCCTGAACATCCACACTGAGTTAATTATATTGTTTGAGCATTTTCGTTAAAATACAAACTGTACAATAGAGCTCCTAGCGGCACAAACTCTTCACAAAATCGCTGACACGGGCATTCCCAGGAACTGCCTACTCCATTACAATCAAGGCGCATGAGTCAATGCGTTAGTTTGTTTAAATGGGACGAATGTCCTTGAAACATTAAACTGAGTGGAAGTACTTCAGCTTGGCTCGCATTGTCTTCTTGCATTTTAATTACACTGCCCAACTAGATATTGACATCAGCATCTTCACAACCACCTGAAACTGGGAATTTGGCATTTTGAAGATGTGAACTCACTATTTACCTGGATTTTTAAAACAAATCTTCACGAAACTGCGTGGACTACTTAACTCGCAAGATTTGCATCGCAACAGGCCACTTCACACTTGTACGACAGCCAAACGAATTGTTATTGCACTGCACTGACTGAACACCTAATTTAGCATTCTGACACGCTCTCACACTAAGATTTTTTTCCTAATTAAATTGAAAAAGTCTGTTGACACCATGATTGGGTGTAATCGCCTAAACGAGCGATTACCGCCAATAGCGTGAATCAGCCGTTTCGACTTGATGAAATCAGTGCATTACACTATAGGTGATTTGGTTTGGCATACCATAGAGGTTAGTTGTCCATCAGTTCCGGGATAATTGCATCTCCTCTCCGACGGAGAAGTCCGTGAAGGTGGAAGAAAACACCCATCCAGTCCACCCAATCACCGTTGCTTGCACCTGATTGGCTACTGTATTCGGCTTAGCCAGTTCCTAATAGTCACCCCGATTCCCGGCTGTGAACTCTCTCACTCAGTACCCGTATAAATAAACACCCTTGTTTCTTATCGACAATTTATGTGTGTCCGTCTGAATCGCAGACCAAAAGTGCAGACACCCACGACTTGTAAATATGCGTGGACATCCACGTATTTTGTGCCACAAAATAATCCAATGGAAATGAACGATTCACACCGAGACCTTCAACATGTATAAATACTCGACTGACTGAACTCCAAAACGCTGTAGCAACAATAATGCCGACTCGAAGCCCAGACTTGATAGTGCAACAGACCAATTTTCATAGATTTGTGTAGGAAGACTGATTGAATGGTGGTAAATGAAGAGTCTTCAATTCCATTGAGAAGATTTAACGATCTCATCACAAGCGTGGAAAAAAGAGATTTAAAGGTACTTTTTAGCATCCACCAAAAGACAAGACTTTTCGCTTAGTTACCGGAATTTTACTGTTTCCATTCAGTTTGTGTCCACGCACGTCATTTCGTCGATTCAAATCGACCACACACACCTTATTGGCTCGGTACCCTTCGAACGTGTTATGCGTCGCCTTTGCAGTCAAGGTCATCCAAGTCAAATATGATTGGACGGTAAGACGTCTGGTTGGCTTGCGCTCCTGCTCTTAGTGTAGGCAAAATGGTTAAGTTGATTGCAAAATGGCGACTTCAGTCTGCCTGCTAACATCGTTCTACACGACCTCCATGCCATGAAGTGCGTCGTCTCACATCGGCCAATGAAGAAGCAGAGTTGACTTGTAAAATTCGACATCTAAAAACGCTATTGGTGTGATAGTTGGTCCAAATCAAACGGTGTTCCATGGTGCATGGCTATGCTTCTCGATGTTTGGCTAAAAGTGAGACCTTGTGTGTGGCCTCGTACCCCATTGGTCGAGCATGCCAACACGAACAAGGACCACCATTTTATTAATGAGGGTTATCGTAGTTGAAGGGGTGTTATGAGCATGACAAGGAGACGACGGTCATAATGCCTGAATGCTGTACGTCCAATGGACGCTAACCTGGGAACAGCGAAAACATTTGGGTTTTGATAGCTAGTGCGATGTTGCATTAAACGCCGCAAACAGAATATCAAGATTGCGAAAACATGGCACGAATTTTGTAAACACAAAAGTTGCATCTCTGCTGCAAAACATCCGCGCAATTTCTTGTCATGGTGGCCAGATTTGAGATGCCCATGACACCCAAATTCCAACCCACCCACCCCTCCTGTCCCATCGGCTGAGGTTGAGAAGTGACACTTGGGACAGCCGTGGCGGTGTCTCAGATAATTTTGCTCATGGCAATCCACCACACCACCCCACCCCAACCGATGTCACGGCGAACTGCCATGGAGTTGATGGCGTCTGCCGATATAACCAGAGCACAGGGACGCACGATTCGAAGGACTGCGACAGCCACTAATATCTCAATATTTACTCCTCCTTCCTTCCAAACTAGGCCAAGTATTTGACTCCTTTTGGAAGAATGGGACCAGTCATTTCCTCATCCTCCCCATGATCAGGACGTACTAACCTCGAATTGCCAAATTTGACCAATTCGGCAGATCTCATTGGATGGTGTAGGTACTGTGTAAACAATTGCCTTTAAAACACAGACTCACTTTAACATCGATCGCCGACAGGAAACGTCATCTACGACAAACACATGATTAGAGCTCACCCCTTTGAAATTGTCCAATCAAGGGACGTCGATCTTGTAGGCCCAGTTTTGACGAATCGGATTGGAGGCCTGTAAATGAGTTCACCCCAAGGACACACCAAAGCCGAAATGAGCTCCTTTTTGAAGGAATAGATGGGAAATTCTTCTTGGTTGCTCTGTCAGGGCAATAATGCCAGCTGTAGTAGAGAACGGCACACAGATGTCAGTGTGCAGGTGGCAGGATGAACAAAAAGTGTCATCAAGTAGAAGGTAAACAGGAGACGTAAACTTCAGCCAACCGGGATTTGACATGGCGTGCTTTTTATCAGAGTGGGCACTGAAATGCACAACCCGAAAACGCGCACGCACGCACGCACGCGCAGGAAACGACGGGGTGTTTTTACCTCGGCTTCCCTTCCTTGACTTTTTTGGTGACCAAAAAAGCTCGGAGAGAAGAAGAAGGAGGAGAAGACGACGACGACGACGACAATGATGACAACGAAACGATTCACGAGAAGGAAGTTGACGGAGGAGAACTCATGATGCGATGGGGGAAAAAACAGTATCTCCGGTTCTCATAGAGAGAGAGATTTCCGTGTGAAGACAACGGAAATGTCGGTTGAAGGGGGGTGGGATTTGAGGCAGCAACGTGAAGCCCGTTTTTGTCGATGATGCACGCGCACACACACAGACAAAAACCACACTCTCTGTCAATGCGATGCACCTTCACTAGAGCGGTGGGGAGAGGGAGTTGGAAGAATTTTTTGTGTCACTATCCGACATCTCACACACAGCTTGTCAGGTGCATTCGTTTCTTCAACTTCTTCCTCCCCCTTGGCTCTACTTGCCATTGTTTTCAAGCAGGGACATTTGGAGACCTCGATGAAGGTGACCATGGATTATCCACATTGTCGAGACCCCAGTTTCGGATAGTTAGACCTTGTTCTAAACCACTACAGACCTTTCACAAATGCGTTTGATGAGGATCTTCGTCGTGTTTAAATGTCACGCTTTATTGTATCCTTGCAACCTTGGAGGACATGGACAGGGTGATTTAACCAATTAGAATGCGTGTATTAAGATGTGTTGAAATGTAGGACTTAGTTGTGGTTTATTGTTGTGCATCAAGCAAGAAAAGGGCTCAGACAAACACACGAGTGAGTTACTAATTTTGTAAGCGCCCAATTTTATTTAAACTTGAACGACCTTGACCACAAATAGGATGGACAGCACATTCGAAGGGGAACAAGCCAATAAGGTGGAGGCGGTTGATTTAAATCTGAGAAGTGGCGGCGAGAAGTATGTAGCGAAACATTTGTCTTAAAAATATTTGATGAAGTTTGTAGACATTATCAGTTCACTATTTCTGCACTAAAAAGAGTAAAGTAGAGTAAATTTTTTCAAAAACCATTTTTTAAAGCGTTCAACTGCTGTTCTTTAAATGAAATTGGTTCACTTCCGCCTTCTGAATCCACTGACGAGCATTTGCAGTTAAAACACATCCTCAGATATCATAAAAAAGCTAAAATCGACGAAGCGTTTAATAATTACTCTGCCAGTCAATGGATCCAAGTATCTCCTGGTAGTGACTTCGATAGAAGACCGAAATTTTCGAATGTTCCTCTCGAAGCTATTATATCCAATTAAAACAAATTTTTCCCACACATTCAAATTACGAGTTCAGTCTAGATTCCAGGATATTTCCGAGGTTCTAGCGAGATATCCAATAGATTGCTGGCTCCTACAACTTCGCGCTAGTTCAATTTTGCCGCCGAAAGAAAATACAGCGCAATTAAACTATTCCCGGTGTAATTGCTGGCTACTTTCCTATTGTTATTATTATTATTATTATTGAACGAGCAGGGTGGGTCAAATGCTGAGCCAAGATGAAGAACATGTGGCGGCAATCAGTCATGATTGCCTCGCGGTGAGCCGAAATTGGGTCACCCAACGCGTCCTCCCTGCCCGTCCACCATGAGGGTCAATTGCTCTACGATGGCGACCATCAAGCCACGAAATCCGCAGAAAGCGCACTGTTTCGGGACGGAATGCGATTGGACGGACAAAGCAACTAGTCCATTTACAGCAAATTCCTGCGATTCGGAGTTGCCACATCGATCTGGATCTATTGAACCTGTCGTCTGATAGAATCTCCACGAATTTACATGGAGCACAATATGTGGTCTGCCTTACCACTGACGGTGTAAACAAAATGTTGTTTCGGTATAACACAACTACTTACAATGCATAAGTAGCATATGGCGTGCGTTAAGAAAGCACCCACTATGGGGTTGGAGACACCGTAAAAAGTTGCGTTATTTGCGAGACACCTTCAAACACACGTCGTTGTAGTGATGACATCAACAAGAGTGAATTTTAAATGAAAAATAAGCAAACGCTTTTCGATTGGTGGATTTCCAGATTTCTTAACGGAGTTTCAGCTTACTTAATTTGAGTTACCCAGTGTTTTACGTGGGTGCGTACACGTCCCCAAAATTCAGGCCAAAAGTACACTTGCGTACACCCAGTGTTGATTTAGGCCGAGTGGCAAGAGTTGGTTTACTTGAGCGCAGGGTGAAAAGAGTTTGTTTAATTAAGTGGACACCGGCTTGTGCCTCTCACATTTTCCTGATTAAAATCAACAGAAAAAGACACGCAGTCCACTTGTCCCCTGACGGCCAGCGGAGGAAACGCGCCTCCTTCTTGCCTCCACAAACATGCGCAGCGACTTGAGCACCGTTCACATGATCGCACCTGCGCACCTGCGTACGCACGCACGCGCGCACGCACGCTTTTTGAGGTTTTCGGTATCTCGACAGCGGCCCTTTGAGATCCTCTCTGCCGGACAGCGGTGGGGGATGGGGGTTAAAGGGTGGATTCTGGGGTGGGGAGGGGGCGACACGGTCTCCAATATCCGCAAGCACAAAAACGGGTGAACGCTTTCATGTACGGCTAATTAATCTCGGACGCATTGCTGCATGGGGCAGTATCTGTCTCTTTGGCTAAAAATCACAGCAAATGAGGCTTTCAAGAATTCAGTGGTCAGGGTGGGGGTTGGGGGGAGAAGACAGCTATTCTCATCGGCAGAAAAGGAATCACTTTAATTTAAAATTATGCGAAAGTGGGATTTCTCATTCGGGGCATATTATGTGTTGGCAAACAAGTAACTTCGGCTGTTCTGTTTAAAACAAAACTCATTTTACAGATTTTTTCTAAAAAAAATGACACCAAACTAACACTTGGAAGCACAATTACTGAAGTTGACTTCAAATATATATTTTAAACGAAATCCCCAACTTTTCATAAACAACGACGCGTTTTAAAAAATAAAGAAAAAATTATTCTAATTTGCTGTCTATTCAATAATACTTGGGGTTTTCAGCATAATTGACTTTTGGTCCAATCAGATTTCGGCACTTTTTTAAACTTTCTCCAAATCTCATTGGTTAATAGGATTAAGGAGTGCTCTTATGTCGAGATTCAACGGTGATTACTGGTCTCTCATGCTTGCTAAAGTTATCAATTATTCTTAGCACGAAATTCGATCTACGTAAACGATATTGCGCAAATTTAAATCCAATTAAAGGGAGTTTAACTAAAATCAGTCAACAAATATTTCGCACGCAGGGTTGTTACGATGTTGTCATAACCTCCTTTCACAGCACACAAGCACTGTTCGATCCCCAAATGTTCTTGAAGTCAATCCTGTGGAAGTGTACGATTGTCCTTTGAAATATGAATCCTGCTGCCTGAATTCATTGTCTTCGTGAGTTACTGAATGTTCGTATCTACGCATTGACGACGGTTTCGTGATAGCACATAGCTGGGCTAAGTCGTCATTCGTCAGAATGTCTTGTTCCTCTGATCCTCCTTCGCTCGAAATAGCTGTGAGAAGCGTCGCTGCGTCCCGCTTGTGTGGGTGGATGCGTTTTTAGCAAATGACCCGGGATTTCGATGGACCTGCAGTGTATCATCATCATCATCAGCAGCAGCAGCATCAGTATCATCGATTTCAATGAGTTCTGCGGTGTTGCATTAAAATTTCCCCTCCAACCGACAAACATCAGCAGCATCGTGTCAAGATTTTGACGAGTGTGCTGAAACAGAAGGTGGGAGTCCTTCCCAAATTTGACCTGTCTAGTGTGACCTTGAGGTCTCAACTGACAAAGAGACCAACCTGAACGCCATTAACACTGAATACCCAACTAACATGCAAATTAACCAAGTCTGCACGCGTAACAATTCGCACCGTGTGCACTTCGAGGTCGTCCCATTTCGCTCTTAATTAATCTTCAACTCGTGACTTTTTGTCAATTCAGATGGAGAAACGCTAAAGGTGTTCAAAAAACACACCTTCTCACCCTCTCCCTCCCCCCTACCGTGTGTATCACTTTTCGCGCACAACCAAGCAAACAGCGCGTTAGCGAGTGTCACCCTGGCGAAAGTGTTGAATGTGAATTCCATTCCGTCGCTGTGTTGATAAAAAGGCGGATAAGTTACACAGGCGGAGGAGAAGGAGGAATGCAGAGGGGCCAGGGGGGGGAGAGAAAAAGTGCCCCCCAGGCGGAAGGAGCTGTGACAACCTCCGGAAAAACAGGACGACTCTTTTGACCCCGTGAGTAATGGATGTGCTGACACAAGCGTGTGCACAATGATTTATAAACAACGCAGTCTACACACTACTTAAAAAAAGACAGGCACACTGGCTGAAAATTTATTGCGTTCAGTTTCGAATGAATTCGGGTGTGCGCATGGAGTGGGCATTCACGTAGCCTGCAAAGGGAGGGCAGTTTCAAGGTCATTTGCTGCTCACCTCACGCCACTCTGACCCCACCACCATCTGATTAAACCCGTTCGCTGGTCTGAACTGTGCAATAATGAATCCCCGGCAAATCACTTAGTTGAATCTGGGGAAGCAAAACGTGCATGACGTGAATTTCAGGGACGAGGAGGGCAAACGCACCTGTCAAAGATCTCGCTTGACTTTTTCCATTGTCTGTTTGACAGTTTTCGGGTGGCAGGTGGATTGGTGTGGCGTGTGGCGCCTTCATGTTCCCTAAGTCGCAGGTGGATTTGAGTTGCAATCACGCAACGCCAATTTTGACAGCGAGAAGCAACTTTTGACATTAGAGAAAAAATCCACACCAGAATTGCACAATTTACTGGGTAAATTAAGGGAATCCAGAAGGTCAGTAGGTCGCTGACCAATAGCCTGCTGGTGATGCTCCTCTCCGCCAATAAGAGAGCTTGGCTTTGGAGTTCGGGTTATGTGATTGAGCAGTGTGATCAAATCAGTGGATATCGAGTCTCTACTATGCACTTAATTACAAGCAAGATGATTGGAGGGCAGAAACTACAGACAATTTCTTCACTAGCTTCAACTTCTTCCTCCACTGCCCATATCTCTAAATTTCATTTAGTAGTTTAAATGAATTCCTTATTTTCACACAAAACAAAATTAGTTCATTGCTGTACCTGACCAGTGGCTGTGCTACACAGGTGTTCATTGATCAGTCTTCATTCACACTGCCAAATGATGATGACATGAACTTGTAAACTTCCTTAATTCCCCTTTAAAGTACAAAACCTTATATTTCAATTGGAAAAAATTTTCAGTCATTTGCACATGCAGAAACAGACAACTACGATGACCTTAAGGGACTGCAAGATAAATTTACAACCACACCTGCAAATCCTCACCGACTCATTAAAAACCTCAACGAAGATGTCAAAGTGAAACTGTAATTATGTCCTTGATCAGCATTAATTTAAACAAAGAAATGTGTTCAATGGAACAGCGCTTACTATCATGTCAGTTTTCAAAATATTTGTGAATAGTGTTGAAGAGGTACAAGCTAGGAATTTAAATTAAATTAAGATGATATAGGTTATCTCACAAAGCATAATCCATTTCAATTATCGATTTCTAACACCCACGCGAACTAAAATTGAAGCAAACACTTAAAATAGAAAATGAATACCTGCAAGAGCGATGTGAAGGCCAAAACGGGCTTTTAACTATGCCGTGTGAGGAGTAATTACATAAAAAAATTAGGACAAGCTCATCATTTTCTTTGTGTGTGAACTGTGCACGCCACCAACAGCACGCGATTTCAACATTAAACGTGGACGTAGTGTGCACAGGACATGAATTACATTCTTGCGGGTGACAACGTGACATGAGAATGATTAATTATCCCTAGCATGTGACATTAAAAGTCATTTAGGAATCCGGACAGTTCTTTTGATTTAAAATTTGTCCGAAGGAAACGTGATCGAAGCTGCACCGCATGGTGGACAGATAAATTAAAATGATGGTCATGTGGTAGACATTTCTCCCAACACAATTCCGCATAACTTCCCGCGAGGTAATTCAACTCACAGGTTGGAAGACAACACTTAAAACACTTTACTTCTCTCCAATTTGCATGCACAAGGGTGGGGTTTT